AAGGACCTAAAGCCCTATACTTTTATATACAAATAAACGAAATACCATTTGAAATGAAACTAGATGAAGGATCAACAAATACAACAATAGGAATAAAACACTTTAGTAAACTAAAAAAATATACCAACCTAGTATATAAAAGTAAACCTGCAATAGCAAATACAGTAGGATCACAAGTTAAATTAATAGGCAAAGCAATCGTAGACATTAAAATAAATGACCACTTATTTAAAAACATATTCTCAGTAAAGACTTCATATACATAATACTATCAAATAAACTACAAAAACAACTTGCAATATTAAAAGACAATACAACAGACCAAGTTCTTATTCATAGAAAACCCATACACAACCAAAGAAAACTAACATCAGGTATGTGAGTATACCTAACAGCCCACTCAAGCAAAGTAACTTCGAATGACAAGAACATGTTGTCATCTTCTGTGCCAATGCAGGATCTACAGTTGGAACTAACCCACTCGAAGGTCGAGACTTCCAAGCCTGAGGAAATACTAAGTATACATGTATCTAACCTGTCTTTTGCTAAAGAAACAAACTCTAACCAAAAGCAAAAGAAAAATAGTGCCAAGGCACCCAACATTCTAACAAATCCAACAAATCAGGACCAACCTGTTCAAACCAATGTCCCAAAGAACTGTCATCAACCTATGCAAACCCACAAAACAAGAAAAATAGTGCTAAATGCAATAAAGCCTATTGAAGTGTGCAAAAAGAAAAATAGAACCCCAAAAGAACTAAATCTCCTCAGTATCTAAAAACAACTCGAACAAAATAAATTAGCAACAGAAAATAATGCATATAATATATTCATTAGACAATACAGTAGGATCACAAGTTAAATTAATAGGCAAAGCAATCGTAGACATTAAAATAAATGACCACTTATTTAAAAACATATTCTCAGTAAAGACTTCATATACATAATACTATCAAATAAACTACAAAAACAACTTGCAATATTAAAAGACAATACAACAGACCAAGTTCTTATTCATAGAAAACCCATACACAACCAAAGAAAACTAACATCAGGTATGTGAGTATACCTAACAGCCCACTCAAGCAAAGTAACTTCGAATGACAAGAACATGTTGTCATCTTCTGTGCCAATGCAGGATCTACAGTTGGAACTAACCCACTCGAAGGTCGAGACTTCCAAGCCTGAGGAAATACTAAGTATACATGTATCTAACCTGTCTTTTGCTAAAGAAACAAACTCTAACCAAAAGCAAAAGAAAAATAGTGCCAAGGCACCCAACATTCTAACAAATCCAACAAATCAGGACCAACCTGTTCAAACCAATGTCCCAAAGAACTGTCATCAACCTATGCAAACCCACAAAACAAGAAAAATAGTGCTAAATGCAATAAAGCCTATTGAAGTGTGCAAAAAGAAAAATAGAACCCCAAAAGAACTAAATCTCCTCAGTATCTAAAAACAACTCGAACAAAATAAATTAGCAACAGAAAATAATGCATATAATATATTCATTAGACAATACAGACTCAACCTAAAATAAAAAAAGTATATAGGTATTACCTGTGATAGAAATACAGAACAAATAGTACAATTAGTAATAACTACTGAAAGTAATATAATACAAACATTCATGATGTATCTACCAACTCAACAATCATACTCAGATAAAAACATGAAGAACTTTATAACTCTAAAAGAAGGCAAACCTAATCTAACAAATGATTATAAATTAATCAAGCTACTCGAAGGATATGAAAATGACATACCAGAATTAAAAATTGTAATACATGCTAGTATAGGATTATCAATAAATGATAAACTCCAATATGATAGCAAATTCAACTGAAAAATAACCAAAATAATAGAAGAAATAAAGCACACAAGACAAATAGAAAGCAAAACATATGTATTACATATAGACATATCAAATACAGGTAAAGATGCAAGGGAAAAAGTACAAATAAAATTAAACCTTGAGAAAATACTCAGAAAAATACAAAAAACCAAAGTAATAGTATTATTAGAAAACTCTGCATCAAATAAATGCTATGGAGCTAATATAGAAGAGCTCATATAAATAAAGAAAAGCATTAAAAAAGAATTACAATATTTCGAAGATGAAAATGGAAATAAGGTGCCACGAGTCAGACTATGTTTTGACACACAATACTATTTTGCTGCAGGAGCTGGCAGATTTATAAAAGACTACAAAGAAATCTTAGACAAATATAAAAAAGAAATCTATTTAATACACATAAATAATGTAATAAAAGAAAGAAAATTTCAACAACAAAGTGGCACATGGGCTGTGATGAAGCCAACAGTATTTGGCTCAGGCCAAGATATACACAGGATCCCAAAGATCTCTGATATAACTCAAAGGTTACTAAAAAAGGAAATTTTGTGTAGAAATTCATCGAATATTGCATTTTTATATAGTAAATTTTTAAATTTTGGCCTATTTTATACGCCTATTTGGCTGATATTATACAAACTTAGATCTAAGTTATATCAGAGATCTTTAGAGTCCTACATACATGCACCACTACTGAATAGACAATTACTTCAAGAAATATTCAAAATGATAATGAAACACCCTAATACTAAAGCAACTATACTAGAAACATCTGGATAGTTAATTGATTTATTTGTTCTTTGAGGTCTATTATTTCTATATCCAGTGGCAAATTTTTTGATGTATAATCATCAAGCATTGCATCTACTCATTTTTCAATTGATGCATATAGTTCTTTATCTTCAGCTATTAAATTGCCAGCATATTTTCTAAGTATGTATACTTTAGCTATTTGTTCATTCTTTTGTTCTTGTATTTTTCCAGATGTTTCTAGTATAGTTGCTTTAGTATTAGGGTGTTTCATTATCATTTTGAATATTTCTTGAAGTAATTGTCTATTCAGTAGTGGTGCATGTATGTAGGACTCTAAAGATCTCTGATATAACTTAGATCTAAGTTTGTATAATATCAGCCAAATAGGCGTATAAAATAGGCCAAAATTTAAAAATTTACTATATAAAAATGCAATATTCGATGAATTTCTACACAAAATTTCCTTTTTTAGTAACCTTTGAGTTATATCAGAGATCTTTGGGATCCTGTGTATATCTTGGCCTGAGCCAAATACTGTTGGCTTCATCACAGCCCATGTGCCACTTTGTTGTTGAAATTTTCTTTCTTTTATTACATTATTTATGTGTATTAAATAGATTTCTTTTTTATATTTGTCTAAGATTTCTTTGTAGTCTTTTATAAATCTGCCAGCTCCTGCAGCAAAATAGTATTGTGTGTCAAAACATAGTCTGACTCGTGGCACCTTATTTCCATTTTCATCTTCGAAATATTGTAATTCTTTTTTAATGCTTTTCTTTATTTATATGAGCTCTTCTATATTAGCTCCATAGCATTTATTTGATGCAGAGTTTTCTAATAATACTATTACTTTGGTTTTTTGTATTTTTCTGAGTATTTTCTCAAGGTTTAATTTTATTTGTACTTTTTCCCTTGCATCTTTACCTGTATTTGATATGTCTATATGTAATACATATGTTTTGCTTTCTATTTGTCTTGTGTGCTTTATTTCTTCTATTATTTTGGTTATTTTTCAGTTGAATTTGCTATCATATTGGAGTTTATCATTTATTGATAATCCTATACTAGCATGTATTACAATTTTTAATTCTGGTATGTCATTTTCATATCCTTCGAGTAGCTTGATTAATTTATAATCATTTGTTAGATTAGGTTTGCCTTCTTTTAGAGTTATAAAGTTCTTCATGTTTTTATCTGAGTATGATTGTTGAGTTGGTAGATACATCATGAATGTTTGTATTATATTACTTTCAGTAGTTATTACTAATTGTACTATTTGTTCTGTATTTCTATCACAGGTAATACCTATATACTTTTTTTATTTTAGGTTGAGTCTGTATTGTCTAATGAATATATTATATGCATTATTTTCTGTTGCTAATTTATTTTGTTCGAGTTGTTTTTAGATACTGAGGAGATTTAGTTCTTTTGGGGTTCTATTTTTCTTTTTGCACACTTCAATAGGCTTTATTGCATTTAGCACTATTTTTCTTGTTTTGTGGGTTTGCATAGGTTGATGACAGTTCTTTGGGACATTGGTTTGAACAGGTTGGTCCTGATTTGTTGGATTTGTTAGAATGTTGGGTGCCTTGGCACTATTTTTCTTTTGCTTTTGGTTAGAGTTTGTTTCTTTAGCAAAAGACAGGTTAGATACATGTATACTTAGTATTTCCTCAGGCTTGGAAGTCTCGACCTTCGAGTGGGTTAGTTCCAACTGTAGATCCTGCATTGGCACAGAAGATGACAACATGTTCTTGTCATTCGAAGTTACTTTGCTTGAGTGGGCTGTTAGGTATACTCACATACCTGATGTTAGTTTTCTTTGGTTGTGTATGGGTTTTCTATGAATAAGAACTTGGTCTGTTGTATTGTCTTTTAATATTGCAAGTTGTTTTTGTAGTTTATTTGATAGTATTATGTATATGAAGTCTTTACTGAGAATATGTTTTTAAATAAGTGGTCATTTATTTTAATGTCTACGATTGCTTTGCCTATTAATTTAACTTGTGATCCTACTGTATTGTCTAATGAATATATTATATGCATTATTTTCTGTTGCTAATTTATTTTGTTCGAGTTGTTTTTAGATACTGAGGAGATTTAGTTCTTTTGGGGTTCTATTTTTCTTTTTGCACACTTCAATAGGCTTTATTGCATTTAGCACTATTTTTCTTGTTTTGTGGGTTTGCATAGGTTGATGACAGTTCTTTGGGACATTGGTTTGAACAGGTTGGTCCTGATTTGTTGGATTTGTTAGAATGTTGGGTGCCTTGGCACTATTTTTCTTTTGCTTTTGGTTAGAGTTTGTTTCTTTAGCAAAAGACAGGTTAGATACATGTATACTTAGTATTTCCTCAGGCTTGGAAGTCTCGACCTTCGAGTGGGTTAGTTCCAACTGTAGATCCTGCATTGGCACAGAAGATGACAACATGTTCTTGTCATTCGAAGTTACTTTGCTTGAGTGGGCTGTTAGGTATACTCACATACCTGATGTTAGTTTTCTTTGGTTGTGTATGGGTTTTCTATGAATAAGAACTTGGTCTGTTGTATTGTCTTTTAATATTGCAAGTTGTTTTTGTAGTTTATTTGATAGTATTATGTATATGAAGTCTTTACTGAGAATATGTTTTTAAATAAGTGGTCATTTATTTTAATGTCTACGATTGCTTTGCCTATTAATTTAACTTGTGATCCTACTGTATTTGCTATTGCAGGTTTACTTTTATATACTAGGTTGGTATATTTTTTTAGTTTACTAAAGTGTTTTATTCCTATTGTTGTATTTGTTGATCCTTCATCTAGTTTCATTTCAAATGGTATTTCGTTTATTTGTATATAAAAGTATAGGGCTTTAGGTCCTT